GTAGTTTGAATTCATTTCTCATATCTCATCTGTATTTTATATATTAAAGATGTTGCTCTAGTTTACTACCTAATATACTGAGTGGTAATTAAAATTAACTTATATAGCTAATTAATAATGACTCATAGGTGCTGAGATGAGGGTTTCAGTGTTTTGCCCCCCCCCCCTGTCACACAAACGTCCGGGATTTACCCCCGTCTGCAAAAATTGAAAATTGAGGTTTGCCCCCCTGCAAAACAAAAAAAAATGCGATTTGCCCCCCTCTGCTAAATGCGATTTGCCGAATAATAATAATTAACAATTCTTGATTACATAAAATCGATTTGTATAGACTAAACAATTTAATCTATATTTATATTTGTCATTGTTTATTCATTGCATTCAGTATCGAGCAGAACACATTTTTATTATTCATTATTCTTGCTACCAGCAAACGCTAGGGGTTTTCATGTAAGATTTTCTTTCACGCATTCGACGAATAAACAACAGTATAACAAATAATACAAATTTTTACAAATCATGCAAATCTTTACCGATTTCACTATTTTGTGCCAAAAATCCACCGATATTCGCCGATATTCGCCGATATGCGAAGTGTCTTTGTTCTGGAAGTGGGCTTTGGTGGATCCTAAGGATCGTTCAGAACCGCTCCCAGGTCTGGAAGTGGACCCTCAGGATGGGTCAGGGCATTGTCAAACCATGGTCTGGTCCATCCAGAGGATCCACCAAAACCCACTTCCAGAACTGGGAGCGGTTCTGATGATCCTGAGGATCCACCAAAACCCACTTCCAGAACAATTAATTATCAAAAAATACCCGAATATTAACGATATTTTACAGATATGCCGATCTTTCACCGATATGCCAATATTTCACCGATATGCCAATACGCAACGATAATACGCAAATATCATCCAATAAAAATACATGCAAACACCTAGAGCAAACGGACTTGAGTGAATTTGTTCAACTTTTAGTTACTTGAACAGTTACTTATACTTCATATAATATTCCAGTGTAGTGTGTATTTCAAAATGTATATAAAACAATTTCTTTTGGTTTTGTCGTCTGTTATGTTATTAATACAGTGCCAAAAACGACGACTGCAATTTTGTGGTAAACGAAATCAACACAGCAGCTCCAGGAGTTTTAAAAGGAAAAGATTTTATAGAATTAAGAATGATTTGCTCGTATGAAAGAAAGTTTACTTCGTTACAAGGCTACAAAGTGATTGGTATTAGGCTACAAAGTGAAAGGCTACAAGTAAAGGCTACAAAGTGATTGGTTTACAACAACTTGAATCGTTTTTTCATATGAACGCTTGAGAATAATAATGAAACTTAATTTTTGTTCAAACTGAAGTGTCCCTTCGAAATATTTCTAATAAAAGTGTCCCAAGTTTATATGGCAAACTATATACAAACTTGGGACACTTCAGTTTGAACAAAAATTAAGTTTCATTATTATTCTCAACCATTCATATATTTTCTTAAAAATACACTGGTTTTGAAGAATAAACGAAACAAAAATTTGGGCTGTTTTTTTTGGTTGAGTAGCGTGCGCATGTATTTGTGTTTGCACTGCTGTTATGGCGTATACTTTTGATGTTTGCGAGTTAGTGTGTATGTATTGTTTTGAAGAAGAAGCACATGTTTGAGTCTCACTCGTTTATATGTAAATTACATTGGCATTTCCAGACCATGGGCTGAGCTGAATCATCTGCCTGAAAATATCTCAGTATAATGTCTGGTAATTTCAGCGAGTTTTATCGACAAATAATCAATTAACGTTCCGTCTTCTGTTTGCTTTTTGCGTCTCTTACCTTTTGGCACTTGGCCGGGTGCTGCCTTTCTTTTTGGCATTTCTGTTTAACAAAACACAAGAGCAATCAATTTTATTAACAACAAATGTCACGATATAAGGCTGATACTCTCCCAATCTAAAATGTAAAAAAAACTAAAAAAAAGAGAAAAAAACATTAAATAATGATTGAACAAACACTTTGAATAAAATACACACAAAACTATATACTATATACAGCGTTCAAAGAGACAATCAAATCACCTCTGCAAGAATACCGCTGAACTGAACTCAAATGACAAAGTCGTAGACGTCGTTCAAGACTGAAACAGAAAGTAAGTTACTTTGAAGTCAGCAGAATGTTCGCATCGATCGGTTATGAAATACTGAAGTCTTACTGCATTCGTTTGCGAATGTTCTGTTATTTTAATATCACAAACAGAAACAATCGCAAAATTCACCGTAAATGCTTCCATTTATATTAAAATCACACTTGAAAATTAGCAGAATGGAAAAATGAGTTCAATATACACAGAAAACGTATACGATGCATAACTTTGTGCAAAAATAGCCAGAATTGAAATATTTTTCATCAAATGTGGCATTTCTTCGGCTGCATCAATTCCAAATAACACAATCAACGCGATCGTATTGTATGAAACTATCAAAAACAACACTCAAAATATTATTTCGTTTGAGACAATCACTGAATAGAACAGAAGAAAAATCCGTTGCATTAACAAAACTAAAAACTCAATCACAAAACACTAAAAAAATAATATTCAGAAATGAACAGCGATGCGATTTTCACTATGACAAACAATAAACCAACTGAGAACAACGAGGTCCCACAGACGTACGTCCTCAGCAGGGGTCCGAGGGGTCCGATTACGCCCTTCCCCTAAAGAAGTGTTACCCCTTAAAAAATTTCAAAGAATTCTTTCAATTTGCTGGGGATTTTGGCCAAAATTGAGGACCTTTTTTTTGCTTTTCAGTTTTTGCATGTACGAAAATTCTTTCAATTTGCTAGGGATTTTCGCCAAAAAAGTGAAGAGCAAAAAAAAACGAAAAAAGTACACTTTTCGCAAAATACACTTCACTTTTTTGCTTACCCCTCTCGATTTTTTTCAATTACCCCCCTTAAATTTTTCCCTTGAGGACGTATGCATACAGCTTCATTTCACAATCATTTGAAATGCCGACGCAACGTGTTTTTTTATTCATGCACAATCAAAACACACACAGAGAGAGAGAGAGAGAGAGAGAGAGAGAGAGAGAGAGAGAGAGAGAGTTATTTTGGAGTGAACACACAAACACCAACAACATTCATAAGAAGTTTGGCAATCGTTGTGTGATTAAAATTGATACTCAGCACTTTTTTCCTCATACTACATTTGCTATATTCACATTGAATAAATGAACAAATGGACTTTTGAATTTCTGCTATAGATTCCAAATAAAAACTCATTGTTGATACACTAACAACAGGCATTTATTTATTGACTTGTGCCTTTAATATTTATATAACTTTTTTCTCAAATAAAAACCAAATCAATTACAATATTGATAAACTACTACGTCATTGCTTTACTCCACTTACCTCATTTGCTTGATCGTTTAATTGGATTTTCGGATATAGTATGAGATAATTACGTATGGAAATCTGACGAACGTTCAATTTTATCTTAATTCACATAGTTTTATGAAAATTATTACTTTTTTGTAACTCTTCGCATACAACTTTTGAACTACTATAGTAGTATGAGCGACAAACACGTAAAAATCCTTCGAATTTAATATAATCTGAGCAAAGCTAATGACTAAATTTCATTGAACTTTTTTTTGCGTGTTAATACTATATCCGACGTAGCCATCAGATGTGAAAAATGAAAGACAAAAGTAAATGTAAGGTCGCAGCGCGGTAATAGTTTTAATTTTCCCGGTTCCCAGATGTATTTTATTTTCATTAAAAATTGACGGTTATAAGCAAGTAAATGAAATAAAAAATTCGTACGATTCTTATTTCTCTTCGGTACAACGCGTACGAGATATATTATCTTTTATGGAGATGTTAACCCTCAAATGCATTTACATTTTCTTTGAAGCTTGAATATCGTGAACGGGTAATTGCATTTTTTCGGCAACTTTCACCGTTTTCAAATTACCGAAAATTGAATTAACCAAGAATTTGAATGGTGAACTAGTGCTATCATTGATCATAATAAACGTCGGCATGTTTTTCAAATATTTCTTTACTGAAAAAATGTCTAGAAATATTTAATATTCTCACTAATGTAATAGACAATATTGGAAAACTAAGGAAATGTTAATTTCTATATTGTCATGATAACGGTTTAATGTTCGTTGTGAAAAGTGACATTTCTATTCGCAAAAAAGATTTAAATGCTCTGCTTGTAAGTGTTTTTGCGTTTTTCTCTCTCAAAGTGAATGAGAGAAAGAGAGACAAATATTGCATAACAAGTCATTTTGATATATGCTACAACCCACCACTCGACACCGCTTAAATACAACTACACCTATTTCGTGTATTCATTAAAAGTGAAAGGCAACGTATCGCACTTACAATCATATTAACAGTTATTGTTTTTTTACGTTTTCACTAAACCTTTAAGGAATTTCTGATTTCATTCTCACTTAAACGGTGATCCAATACAGTTTCATACGTTTCAAGGTTAGAGGGTCAACAAATGTACAACAATTACACACACAGTGTGTCCGAAATTTAAAAAAAAAATATGCCAGCCCATTTTTTTTTGGGTGGAACGTTTTTATACTTTTAGGTGGTCATTGCTATTTAATTCAAACTCAGAATATTTAAATATGTTAACGAGTCATTTATATAATACAGTTTTTTAATAAGTTTTTGGTAAATTTTTATGGATTTTGAACCAGAGGTGAGAATTTTGCAGAAAGAATTTTCATTTTGGAAAAAGTGAAAGGGAAAAAATACATAATTTTCTCGCCTTACAACCCTAGCAAATCGAAAGATTTCAATGCTTCAGAAATGGAGAAAATGATATAGATTTTCTGGCGTTTTTAGTTAAAAAACTGTTTACAAAGAAATGTTTTGTATGAGTAGGTTGGGATTAAAATGACCTAAAATTCCTCTTTAATTTTTGCACAAATTAGTTCATTTAAACAGAATATTTAATGTTTCCTATCATTTTGTTTTATTTTAGAATTGGTTTGAGTGGCTTTGATAACCCAATGCGAGATCCAAAAACAGAGGAACTAAAGCGACATGTTGGACAGGTAAAATAATCATTTTATTTATGAATAATATCATAAGAACTAATATAAACGTAATACACACTCAGAACATGCTATAGCATGTATACCAATTTCAAACTTTTTTCATCAAAATATTGTGACGGAGTCACTCGGTCATTCTGGAAAAAATCAAAATTCGAAGAAAATCACTGAATCTGATGCTGGTTGATGTTTTTATGAAATATTAATAGTATCGTTTGTTAGAAACCATTTTTAGCACCCGAAAACATTCGAATTTAGGTTGTTTTCGCCAGTTGAATTCCGTCTTTTAATGATAAGTTCAGTACATTGCCATACACAGTTTCAGGTTACCTAGAGTTGATCAGAAGAAAAGAATGGAAAAATGGAAATTAATCAATGAGTAATGGAACAGAATGGAAAATGAATCGAAGGAATGGATCAGGAATTGTAGAGTAGTAATTTAAGGTTACGTTTATTCAATTTGCCTTTTGTAGATAAAAGATGTAATCAGTTAAGAAATGCATTGGTTTTCATTGTGAATGTAACTCTTTGTATTTTTATTTATCTGCATTTGATATTGCATATTTAAAGTTTCTTCAATTTTTCGCTAATTCGAATTGAAATGGTTGTTCTTTTTTTGTTGCAAATATATTTTTCTATGCAGATTGTTAGCATTTTAAAATGAAGATTAACATGAATATTTTGCGAAAGCAAGTTGCTCAAATATTAAGGATGCCAAAAGCTGCTATTTGAAAGAACACTAAGCTGATCAAAAGATTATAGGTATTTGTTTTTGTTGAAAAACATTGAAACGCTCACAAATACAATTTCCTTGGCGATGAAAATATAAATTTAAATACTTTTAATATCGATTCAAACTCATTGTTCCTTTGATGACGGTGTGTTGTCAACCGTTCGTTTCGGCACATCTGTTGTAAGATGAAAAAAGAACAATTCTAGGATGTTTTACATTTATCACTTCTCACATCACATTACGTTAAAGATTAAAGACAAGATGTGCTTTCCAATAACAATAATAATTAAATAAAATAGTCGCTAAATTCCATTTTCAACAAATTCCTGCAATCGAATTTTTGTCGTTTTATTTTCAGTTTCTTTGTATTCCGCTTTTTCGCAATTCTATCGTATTTTTGTTGTTGTTGTTTTTTTAAATCGTTTTTCAATATTTCAAATATCTTTCAAGACATAAAATGTGTTTGAATATTGAACGAATTTCACATTTTTTTGCTATTGTAGATACTTTTCATTGCTCGAATGTTATTTTTGTGAAAAGTATCGCTTGGCATGGCACTCACATAAAACATATTTAAAAAAAAACAATTCCATTCAATGTAACACTTAATGTTTGCTACATTTCAAGATGGTCGTGCGCACCAGAGCGAGCAATTTCTGTTGTGTTTCTGCCATCTCCGTCTCTTTTTTCTTCATTTTATTTGCAAATGCATTAGATGGAATTCTATCACATGAAAAGATTTTATCATGTTCATTTCTTCTGTTACATTGCACCTATGGTGGAATTACATTTAGATTTGAATCATAAAATATTTGAATACCATCACCATTAATAGATACTTACCTATTGTATATCGAAATTTTCAGCATGAAATTGGTGAGATTGTTTCAACAGCGGCAGTTTTTTTACGGCATCCTTTGTTTAACAAATCGATGACAATATCTATGAAATCGATACAATGAGTTGATTTGTTACCAGTTTCACCGAAAATTAAATTCGAAATATTTGTTCTTAAAAATGTGCACACAGGTGCATTTAAGATGGTTTTCCAATAAATGCAAGTGATGCGATTCACATTAAAACATTCTTTTAAGAGTTAATTTGTTGGCATTCCAAGAATGATCAAGTGAATGGAGAATTCGGAGTGTGCGTTTGTGTGTGACAATGATAACATATGTACACCTATATAGAATAACCAAGATTTTTGTACGAACATAAAGTTAAATCCAAAATGAAATGAATGCACAATTGTGACACGTTAAAAATGAGCCAAACGGTTGACCGTTAAAGACAACAGAATGCCAAATGGCGATTCCGAATTAAAGAATGAGGAATTGAATGCGCATATTTGTGTCTTTCGTTAAGTTTCTCTCTCTCTCTCTCTCTATCTCTCTCTATCTCTCTCTTCATTTTAAACGAGATGTTATATTATTTTAAATGATTCTTTTCTGTATTTTAACACACACGAAAAAAAGCTATGTGCAAACATAATCATCAACAATTCCACTCGCCGGCTAAACAAGTAAAATGCTAAAGGAAATGAATTTGATTGCCAATATCTTGAGTAAATGTGCTATTTAAATGCACCAAATAACCACTCTACCATTTGACTAACTCTTTATAATAAACGTGTCCGCATATTAAAAATAAATGCACACACACCGTGCGCGCGATTACATAGGATATGAAATAGAAAGCTTGCAACAAGCGATTCCAAAGAAAATAATTATTTGTATTTGAAAGGAGAAATTATGTGATAGCGGCTGCATTCCATTTTGTTATCATAATGAAATTGACTAAGCGATTTTACTACAAACAACGGAAGCGTGTGACAAAAATTAGTAATAATACAGTATGTTTCATTATAGAGAGAGGTTGATTTAACTACCACAAATTTCAAATATCCTAAAAATGTTTTTGGTGTTGCCATATGAGACTCTAAGCTACTACGCCAATTAACAATGACAGCTCTCAAATCAGTACAGTGTTTGTTGTGCAACGAAAACATTATTTCCGAACATTTTCATTCACGGTTTGAAGCCGTTTTTCTGCATTTGCATCCAAAAGGACAAAGAATGTCGATCACATCGACTGCTAAATACATTAAAAAGTCAAAAGGGTTCGTAATAAAGTGAATCCAGCAGTATAAGCATGAAAAAAAAGTGAACGACCAGCCCAATCTGAAGCCAAACTGAGCCTCCTCGCAACAGGAAGATAAACGGAGAGTCAAGTTGTTCGATAAAAATTTAGGTATGTTGTTGAGCCAAGGTGTTGAACGGCTACGCCGTTTTAAAATAGAGGTCTCGCGCTCTACTATCAGGAGAAGATTAGATGTTGCCGGTGTTCGTTATCGCAGTAAATTGAAGAAACCGCTTTTGACAGAAAACCAGAAGAAAAAGGCACTGACGGGGCAAAGCAAAATTCAACAAGAGATTGGAGCGAAGTTATATACACTGACGAGTCATTCTTTTGGCTGGTGAATAGCACTACCCATGCCTAGTCTAGAGCCCAAAAGAGAATGGTCGTTCGCACGGTAAAGTATCCGAAAAAGGTGCATGCTTATGGTTGCTTTTGTGAAGCTGGTTTTGGAAAGTTGACCATATTCACGGGGATTCCAAGCGCCGTGAGGATGAACCAACATTATTCATCGACACAGTTACCCATCGCTAAGAAGTTCTATGGCAACCACAATTCGAATTGGCTTCTATTAGAAGACAACGATCCAAAACACAAAAGTCGTCTATGCAATGCTTGGAAAGAGGAAAATGACATTAAACAAATGGACTGGCCGCCACAGTCACCCGATTGCAATCCGAACGAAAATTTTTGGGCTATTATTAAGGCATGGCTTCGTGGTAAAACATACCGCAATTTGAAGCAGCTCAGTTCATTCATTCAGCGCCAGTGGAAAGGTTTTCAAAGCGAATATGCTGAAAATTTGAGCAAAAGTATGCCGAATAGATGTGCCTGTGTGATCGAGAAGGCAGGAGAATGGATTAAATATTAATTTGTGGCGCCGTAACTTAGATACTAAATAGAATGTATATAAAATAATTTTGTAAAACTCTTGAGTTTTATTATAAAAAATCAACCTCTCTCTATAATGAAACATACTGTACATCGCCACGAGCAGAAACTCAGTTAATTCATTCAATTTGAACTAGAAAATCAAATGAAAGTGAAGAAAAAAAAACATTGCAAGGAAAAACAAAGTAATAAACATATCGAAATAAACGTGTTTCACTTTCAAACGGAAAACCATTGCGACCAAACACATTTGGACATAGACACACAACTAGATGTGAAATTATACACATTGGCCAATCGGTTTAATGTGCACGTAATTACCTACTTTTTTTACACATTATTGTGAAAACTGAAGCATTTGCACCATTTTCAACAAAGTGTACATAATAAATAATTAGTAAAACGCAAATTAAATTGAATTTTTGAACACCTTATTGTCACTTTAATGTATATACAGATTTTTTTAGACAAAAACACACTAGTTTTGCAAAATTATTTTATATACATTTTATTTAGTATCTAAGCTACGGCGCACACAATCAATATTTAATCCATTTTCCTGTCTTCTCGATCACACGGGCACATCTATTCGGCATACTTTTGCTCAAATTTTCGGCATATTCGCGTTGAAAACCTTTCCACTGGAGTTGAATGAATGAACTGAGCTGCTTCAAATTGCGGTGTGTTTTACCACGAAGCCTTGCCTTAATAATTGCCCAAACAGTTGCGATCGGATTGAAATCGGGTGACTGTGGCGGAGAGTCCATTTGTTCAATGTCATTTTCCTCCTTCCTTTTGTGTTTTAAATCGTTGTCTTCTAATAGAAGCCAATTCGAATTGTCGTTGCCATGGAACTTCTTAGCGGTGGGTAACAGTGTCGATGAATAAAGTTGGTTCATCCTCACGGCGTTTGGAATGCCCGTGAATACGTTCAACTTTCCAAAACCAGCTTCACAGAAGCAACCATAAACATGTGCTTTTTTCGGATGCTTTACCGTCAGTGTATGTAAATTCGGTCCAATCTCTTGTTGAATTTTGCTTTGCCCAGGCAATGCGTTTTTCTTCTGGTTTTCTGTCAAAAGTGATTTCTTCACTGTACTGCGATAACGAACACCGGCCACATCTAATATTTTCTTGACAGTGGAGCGCGAGATGTCTATTTTAAGATGGTATAGCCTTTCAAAGCCTTGGCTCAACAACATACCTAAATTTTCATAGAACAACTTGACTATCCGTTTATCTTGCTGTCGCGAGGAAGCGCTATTGGCTTAACTTTCTCTTGACTTTTTATTGTGTTTTGTGACCTTCACTATTGACCATTTTGGTCCAAATTGGTGCAAAAGTGAAAAACTGCTTCAAAACGTTTTGAAAAATGTTCGGAATTCATGTTTTGATTGCACAACAAACACTGTACTGATTTGAAGCCTGTCATATTTGTTCTGCGTCGTAGCTTAGAGTGCCATTTAGCGACACCAAAAATATTTTTAAGATATTTGAAATGTTGGTCTAAAAAATCGATGACTCTATATAAAAAAACGTACTGTATCTTGCGATACAATTGCGTTCTACTAAAGACCAACGCAATAACATCGATAAATCGGGTGCTTACATGGCAACTTGCGCTGATTGCGGTTGTTCGTACATTGGAAAAATGCGTCGGTGTTTATGTGTGAGGAAAGAACACATAACGTACATAAAGAACAACGAATCATATCGGAGTGGTTTGGCCAATCATACCATTTCATCTAAACATCATTTGAACGACGAAAACTAAGCGACTTATGATGCTAACATGAGTTTAGCGAAACAATTGTATCGCAGGATATATACATTAAAGTGACAATAAGGTGTTCAAAAATTCAATTTAATTTGCGTTTTACTAATTATTTATTAATTATGTCACTTTGCGCTCTAAAACCATCAGAAAAGTGTACATAGTCAAAATCTCTTGGAATTTTAATTTGGATACGAATTTTGAAACAAATCACACCTTAATTTTAAGCTTTTCTGCCACTTCGATACTCAAATGGTCAGCAAATGGATTTTTTGTCACGCAAGTACAGAGTCGAGCAACATCCTGATAAATCAATATCCGTTTTCACTCTTATGTTTTGAAACGGAAAAAAATGAAGTAAAATGATGCCCAAACACGTGATATTGACGTATACATGTACCGATTTTGAACTGTCAGCGTCACGTACCGCATTTACAGACAATAGCAACGTGTCATCTGTTGTTCTGTGCTCGTTATTTTTATAAACATGTTGAAAAGAACGTGACGACATCTAATACTGCATCTGTTGGTATTATCAATAAAAAAAGAGATGAGATTATAAGTCGCCGCAATTTCAATTGTGTGATGTACATAATATTTATAAGCGGCTTGAGTGAGACGTATTCGATTGTTGCTTGAGCCGACAAGCTAAAGACAAACGAACGTTTGTTTCCGAAGTGTTTTATGCCAACTTTCTCTTCCGATATTAACGATGCCAAGCAACTGGAAAACAATCAAATCGGGTTTTCTGATAATAATTGCTGTTTTGCAAACTATTGGATAATATGATTTTGCTTAATAGATCGCTATGTTGTTAGATTTATATCTGTGTTTTAAGTCAATTGAAAGTAATACCTGCTGAAACAAAATTAAAAGCTGATTTTTTTTCTGAACATGAAACGTTTTGATTTATCCAAGGCATAAGCTTCGTACAAATGCTTGAAATGCGCGTTTTCAATTGCAGACCGATATGAATGTGAGACTTGACAAGCAAATGAGTACGGAAGTTTGATACACATTTTGGTTTCACTTGCATTTGTACTCACATTATTAATAATGCCCAATCGGGCATGTACGTTTTCAATTGGTATCTTTAAAACAACCAAGTAACGATGACATAGCTCTGAGTGCTCAAAAGCTTTTCCGTGACACTATGAATGTGTCAATTTTTTTAGGAACTAATGACGTTTAGACAATAATATAGACGGTGTCAGTAACAAGTATAAAATTAAATGTAAAATTGTCATAAAATATTGATTTTATCTTTCAGGGTGTCAAAATCAAGATGGATGACGCTGGTAATATTTTAATTCGTCGCTATGCCAAAAGTAATGTTTATGTTAAAAGCACAGCAGCAAATGCTAACGATGAAACAGCCATCGGAGCAGAGATCCTAAAACTACCAAATAGTGCATTAGAGAGCGAGAAAATTGTTAAGGTAAATAAAAAGAGGGTTGACATTTTTACATTCAAAAGAATAAAATTTTAAAATGTTTTTCTTTGATTATTTAGTTATTCGATATGAAAAAGTTTCAATCAAATGTCAATCGTGAATTGAGAAGGGCATATCCAGACCGAAGAAGACTTGAAACGCAATGCCTTTCTCTAGTTGCATTTGTTAAAGCTGAAAATGATTTATTGGATTGTCCGATATGGGTGCTTATAGTAAATGTAGTAGCAATGGATATGCTAAAAAGCAAATTGCCGCCGGGTAAGCATTTTTTAATTTTAAATTAATCGATTCCAATTTTGAATTTGATTGATTACCACAGCACTGCTATCAAATGTGGACAAACACTGTACAAAGCTCTTAAAAAATAGGGTCACTTAACTGAAAGTGCTTTATGACATTTCATAAAAACATTGTCAAATAAAAAACAAATTTGCGATGCAAATGGCGCATCCGTGTTTAAACAAAATAAAATAAAATCATATAATCGATTATTCGGTTAGTGCTTAAAATGATTCTATTCAAAGCCGCATAGATGACATTATTTGCACTAAAGGACCGTTTTCCATTTCGCGTTTTCTCCATGGCTGCATTTCTTTTGAAAAAAGCAATACTCTTTTACTCTTTTGCAAAGAAAAATAGTTGAAGCGATATTTTTTTAAAAATAGTTTTGCTTCTGAAATTCAAACATTGTTACATAAGTAACATGTTCAATATTTCTGTAATAACAAAAAAAATCGACCGTGATTTGGTTCAATGTTTATTTCCAGTTCATCGACCACTTGATATTAAAAATCGGCCAAGGATTCCAATTCCAGATGAAGACCCTTACAGCATAGCAGGTAATGGTGGGGGTAGTGGTAGTTCGGGTAGTTCTGGTTTTGGAACTAATAATGGAAATAGTTGTAGCACTCCAGGTTGGTATAGAGTCTTTTATATAACATCAATTTAATTGATCGTAATGTAATTATGATTGCCAGCTAACCGAATAGGAAGCACACGATTATTGAACGATTGATATATAACTATTTTAGGTCATGTTGCATCAACTCGTGAGCAGTTGTTATTACAAACACAGAAGCTTGCATCACGGCGCAGCGAGAAACCACCAAAATTGCCACCACGTGATAATATCTATCATCCACATGACATTCCAAAGCCTGACTATGATGACATCAACGAAGATGATCAATTAAAAGCGTTCCGCGTTAAATCAGACAAAGGACGGGATTTGAACAAGAAATACGGTAATAAATCTCTTGAAACAGTAATATTAAAAAAAGAAACAACAAAAAAAAAATATGTAAAAATATGCGTGAGCTCTTAAAGAAGTAAAGCGTTTCGAAATCAATTAAACGTAGATAACGAATGAATTGAACGTAAAATGAGAGAAAGCAAAATAAACTCGTTCACGCGATATACATACTAGACGAAAACCGTGTGTACTGTACGTGCATAGACACTTCATCCAATCGCAATAGAAAATTGAAAGCAATCCTATACGTCACTATTAGAGCATACGCGCCACATTCGATATGAATGGCATAGGCATAGCGTATATTATGTTATACACCGTTGAAAAGAAAGAAAGAAAGAAAGAAGAAAAAATAATGCAAAATAAATATCGTTAATTTTTAGTTTGTTTCATTTTCAATTCCATTATTCTCTCATTTTCTCTTGTTTTTCGAAGATAAAATTGCGATCTATGACCATGTTCGTGAATGACTCTCGTATGTGGATCAATTTAAATACCTGTTTAGTGTAACATTTGTTCAGTCATTGAAAGAACGATTCAATGCACATAATTCACTCGAAGCCATTTCTTTTTACAACAACACCTTTAAATGCAGTTTTTATAACACTGAAATGGTGCGCTTTCTCTTCTGGAAACACAAATGAAATGAAAAATCCGCATCACGAAATGTTTTATTTGTTTGTTTGTTTTTTTTTTACATGAATTTGTAAAGCATTCGTTGAATGAATCGTCTATTTATAAATAATCATCATGGCATGCGCCAGTAATAAATAATTACCAATGTCTCATTTGAATAATTTTTTTTAAATCAAAGAATTTGGACTGTCAATGCATATGTACTACATGTTATCTGATGATAATAATGATAAAAGTAAACAGGCTTATTTGAAACCAATTTATTTCCTGCAAAAGTAGTATTCAAGTAGTCATGCAAAGATGATTGGACACTATAACAATTTATTTGGTTAACTACAGATTTAGGTACAGTTTGAGAATACTGACACCTGTTGGTGTTAGTAGGTTTGAATTTTTACTTTTTTCGAATTTTTTTGAAAAAAGTGTACACATGAGTAAAATAGTCTGTCGGATTGTGTTTAAAATAATTTTTGAGTTACCTCTGTTTGGGTATGAAAACAAATCAGCCCCTATAAAAGCGTAATTTTTGAGGTCAAAATGGAATATGAGGTCAAAACATATGTGAATCGTGAATTAATGTCTAGCGAATCATTGTAAGTTTGTGTCATTGGACCCCAACCCCTTCCCTATCGACACGGTAAAGTGACTTTATGGCATGGAGCTACTCCCTCTTGAATTAACTCCAAATTTTGCAGAACATACCTCCGAAATTGCTCTTTTATAGGGGCTGATTTGTTTTCATACCCCAAACAGGGGTAGCTCAAAAATTATTTTAAACACAATCCGACAGTCTATTTAACTCATGTGTACACTTTTTTCAAAAAAAAAAAAAAAAAAAATCGAAAAAAGTAAAAATTTAAACCTACTAACAGGTGTCAGTATTGTAAAGTTAAGCCCACCGCCCATGTACAGTACCGTCGGAAAATTTGAGACCAAGCTCATTTTTTTCATACAATTTCATACAAATTGAGGATTTTTTGTTGTTGTTGGATCCGATGTTTGCACTTTCAAGTGTGAAAAAGGATATTTTTTAAACGCGTAGATATTTTTGGTAAAACTTCACTAGTTTACTCTCCGTAAATAAAATAATAAGTGTACAAAAAATTATGGGTCTAGCTATTTCCGAAATATATTAAATATTGCTCCAAAAAATCGTCAATTTGTATGAAATTGTATGACATTTTTTTGTTTGGTCTCAAACTTTCTGACGGCACTGTATGGTCTGAATATACTACAGTTCCAAAGTAGCGCCATATTTTTTATTATCAATTCTTAATTGAAATTTTTGTTTGAACTTAAGTTTATGTGAATTTAAAAATAATAAAAACGATTATTAATTATCCTTCGTTTGTTTGTTAACAGACGATCCCTACTACTGTGGCTTGAGAGCTCGCGTCCCGAACTTTGTAAAATCATCAAAAAATAAGGGCAAAGAAAGTTTGTCGCCCATGAAGAGGATATCTGTATCTAATTTACAACATCCATCAGCTGCATCGTTAGCATCACTGCATCAGCTGCATCAAATGCATCCCCAACATTTGTATGGCGGAAGTCATCATGCGCATTCAGCACAATATCCGCATCATATGATGTTGCATACTAGGAGTTTTGAAAGTGGCATTGGTAAATTATCAAGTTTATATGAGTGTTTAATAAATGAAGGCTGAAATAAGATTATCTTTGTATGAAGAAATTTTTTTTAGATCGCAGACACTTTGCTGTGATGCATTCAATGTGCGTTCATAACAATTTGGATATTTATTGCTGGCCTTCTTTTATTTCATTTGTCAATGATAAAGTGGATAATTTTTTTATTTATTTGTGTTTATAGACTCAGACATGATAGAATCTCCATACAATCATATATATGGTCGATTACCGCTACCAACTCGTGGATATGTGCCTCAACAAAGAGCAATGTATATTGGCGAGTGGGACTGATTGTTTACAGATGATTCAAATGAATTACTTTAATTAATAAGACATAGATAGATCTATAAAATTATAATTCGATCACTCTTAAGTTTCGATACCATCCTTATGTTGCCCCTGTCCATACCAATACACACGTAAATTCTTCGACCTTTAAATAAAAGCAGTTGGCAATATATGTTTTTTTTACTATTGTTAAATATCCAATAATTCTTTGTTTTTGAACTCACCATTTTTTTTCTCTCTCTCTCTCGACCAAACCTGAGCAGTTGTAGGTTTTTTTTTCTACGTGAATATCCTGTTCAGTTTCTATGGATAATATTTATTATGTACTTTGCTGCCAATTATATGATGAATGTTTTAGGTTATTGTACAAAAGGTACCAAACAATTTGATTAACTAAAATTATTAAATTAGACAATTCTAATATTATTGAGAAAAATATTTTTGCGAACCATTTTTTCACTGCCCCAATAAATGCGCCATTTAGAGACGTTATCCGGCCTTACCGGTTATTAAAATGTAATGAAGAAGATGTATGAAATTATCAATTATATGAAAGTCATCAAGCTAATAAACGGACAGGGATAAATTCGTGATTACTTCAGAAACGAATTTTAATGAATTGATGAAAAACCATTTAACATTTGAAACATCTTTTAGTTTTGTGAATATCTGAACTTTTACCTTCAGCATATACATGACACCTTAAAAATTACCAAAATTGTAACGACATTTCTTTGAAAATCAAATGTTGATCTTTATTATTCAAACATATCGAGGGACTATAATCTCTTGTAAATTTTTTCGGAATTTATCTCTGTGATCCGTTTAAAACTTTCATTTTCTTAAATTAGGCATTTAAAAGTAAGTTAATATTATTATTTCTTTTTTTCTGATGAATTCAGATGATTGAGTAGGAAACATAATTAGCAAAGATTACAATGTAGCGAAACGAATCTATCATTGTACCAAGTAAGATTTATTCGCTTAAAATAGTCACTGTTTTTCATGCTGAATTTGATTTAAAGAACAAACCATAAACAAAATATTGTAATGATTTTTTTCGCTTTTTTATATAAATAAGCATTTTTGTATAAGAAATTAAGAGATTAGAGAAAAGAGGGAGAAGAATTCATTTTTGTATGATATTTAATATTAATTGAAATGAAACATAGATTGATAAAAGTTAATATCAGTCTTGTTACGACAAATAAAATACTTTTTTTCTTCTTTAAATGCTAATGAAAGCTATAAGAAAGATGTAATACTGCAGTCATAGATCGAATACATTAATGTAAACCGTCTATGCATCTTTTGCATACGCTCAAGTCAACAGATTCAAAGATTTTCGGACAAAATCACCACAGAAAGTAAGCAGTCATTCATTTTGAATGGGGAGCTTCATAAAAAATAATGGACTTTGAAATGATGTTAATATTATTTAACAATGCATGTAATGCAATTGTGTTTAAATTCGATAAATGATTTCTGACAATTAACTTTTGATTTCTGATTTGGACCTTTGATTTCTGAATTTTTGATTTTTAATAGAAGCCATAAGAAAACCATAGATTTATTGCCTAAAACTATAAAAAATATAATTCACATATAGTTGGCGCTGCATTATATGCAAACTTGTTTTCCGTTGCATGGACTAAGTGGAAAGTAAACGCTTATTAGATAGAATGTAGCGCCAACTATACGTGAATTTTATTTTTTTATCATTTTTGGCAGTAATCTTATCGCTTCTTTTGACTCATCGGTAGTCCCAAGTATGTCATTGAGTCAATATGTCGAAAGAAAAAATCAGGATCTATAAGCCATTATCAAAAAATGTGAAGAGTCAAGAACACCATTAAATGTCAAACTGCCACAATATTTGCTGTTGATTTTGCTTTTTTTATACTTCCAAGGCTTACAAAATGCGGCATTATTGTATGGATTTTGACTTCGCTCAAAGATGTCCACAACTGTTAGTAAGTCATAGTTCCAATCAGTTTATGACTGCAGCTTCAATCTGTTCTAAGTTGATGTTGTAACTATAGTACTAACTAGATCTAGTGTACCATAATCGCATTGTCAATATATCGCAGCCGTGCATAGTTTATATACTTTGAAATTAACGACAGTCAAAGAACATGAACTATCAAATTGTCATTCACTAACACACAACAAGATACTAAACGGCATTTATTTTTATGCTGCATTGTTTCACATTGTAGCAAATTACCAAATACCAATGGATTGATTTTTTTAAAATGGTATTTTCATTGGTTCTTTTAGATTTTTTAAAAAAAATTTATCAAAATGGATTAGTTTTTACCGTGAACATTAAAGTATCTGTTCATTTTTCATATTGATTTTTTTTGATTGAAAAAAAAAAACTTTTCTGCATTTCATTTAGATGGTAAAAAAAATTAAAAATGTAAAATGACAACAAATTGTAATTCTCTTTTCTTTCAAACATAAAATGGTGAAGGTAATAAAATTCATTCAAAAAAAATCATGTTTTTATTTGCAATTGTTTTTTCGTGAAATTACCACACACATTACTGATATATCATAATCATATGATTGAGGAAAAAGTGAAAAGGCCGAGTTGGCGCCTCAATTTTTGGCCTTGGCCGGCCCAAAAGTGTATCGAATGTTCCAAAAAGTATCCTATCTTGTAGAGACGGACTTGAACACGATAGAGGTAGGCAAACTAGAGGTAGGCAAACTAGAGGTAGGCAAACCTTTCATACAAAAAAAAATTTCATTTGGAAAATTTGAGCAAAAAAATGGGTATAACTGGCCGGCCCGAACTATTTAATATTATTGTTCTGAAAACTATTCTATCTTGTAGAGACAGACTCCAGGAACACGATAGAAGCAAAAAAAAAATTGGGTCCCATGTCGCAATTTTGAAAAAAATGAAGAAGAATAGTACAATGTTCATGACACCTCCCATTTTGATCGACCTGCAAATCGGTCTATCTTGTAGAGGAAGACCCCTAGAATACAGTACAACCATAAAACGATAATTATTCGATTTTAGGTTTGACTTTATTTTGATCGATTTGGAAACATACTCATTTTTGAAGGGCACAACTACACTTTAGTGAACTTTCTTCAAATGGCTCTATTTTTTATATGATATGTATACGTAGTAGAATATTGCATAGCAACATAAATTTTTATGCGGCAGCATAAAATTACAACATAAAAGCTGGGTGAACTAATGTCTGGCGAATTAATGTCTAGCGAAGTTATCCGCGTACTACCATTACTTACAATGGCAAATAATGTCAAAAACTGCATGATGGCGCCATCTCTACGTGCACATGAAAATTAGAACAAAAAGTATGTGTAAAAAATTGATTGATTCGAAGTTTGAATATGGAATCGTTTGTTGTGACATCTGTCATTCTACGCTCTGAACAAAAACCGATTTATTGTTTGCATCTAGTGAATTTGTGATGTAAAATAAATTAAAATTACTTTGCACAGTTTGTGCCATCGAAATAATTTGCGAGGACGTTGCACAACACATGGTTTTGCATTATACAAACATTCTACACATACTTTTTGTTCTAATTTTCAGGTGCACGTAGAGATGGCGCTGGGAACGCGAAGCTCAAAAAAAATATACAGTCTATATAGAAAGCAAGTGACGGTAGTCCGCGTATGTTCTGCAAAATTACTGAGATGGTAGGGACCCTCCCCCATCAATAGAGTAAAGTGCCAATGAGCCTCTTGAGTTACTCATCTCAGTAATTTTGCAGAACATACTTCGGATAAAACACAATGCGGACAACTTGCAGTATTTGGGTCAGACATTAATTCGCATTTTTATTCAGACATTAATTCGCTAAAAATGCGAATCTATGTCTAGACGTTAATTCGCAATTTTCATTCAGACATTATTTCGCACAAAACGCAAATTTATGTCTAAACACTAATTCGCATTTCACCCAGACATTAATTCATATGATATATATATATGTGCTGATGTAAGTCATCAAAAATATGCTGCCGCATAAAAATTCATGTTGCTATGGAATATGCTACTACCTATGCATATCATATAAAAAAATAGAGCCATTTGAAGAAAGTTCACTAAAGTGTAGTTATGCCTTTTGAAGAAAATCGACCCTACAGTTGGGCATTTTCGGTATCTTATTATTCATCTTATTATCTTATCATTCTAATAAGATCAAACTATATTATTACTTATTATTTTTTTGCACTAATAAGTATAGTTATTAGAATGTTACTAGTCAGAAGACTAATAAGATGCATGTATCTTATTAGTATAGTTATTAGTATAGTTTCTCATCAGTATATTTCGATTGGTGTTACTAGAAGCAAATACTGCTGAAACACGAAAAACAGCAGAAAGGCAGTCAAAATCACAAAAAAACTCCCGGTCGATTTTTCTCGCATTTCCGATGGGAAATCAGTCATGTATATTTTATGACATACCATACATTTTAGTTTTTTACATATCATTCGGTCGGACGGTCGGTAATTGTATCACCATATTCTTAAATGAAAAGAGTGAAATGCAATATCACAAACAACAAGGTTGACGAGTGACATAAAATTGTCGGACGGTCGGTCGGATTGGCAGACCTTCAGAACAAGGTAAAATATTCAACTCATTTGGTAAAACATGAGTTTTAAAGAAATGCTTTTTGCTTTTCATTTTAAATTCAAATAAAGATGCCCCAAATATCACAAAGAGAGAAGAATTGATTCAATTGACAAAAATAAACAAATTATTTAAGTTTGCTATGTACTTTTTTTATACTACTTATGAAGACATGACTGTTGGATCGATCGAGCCAGCGGAAGCACCGGAAAGGAAAAAGAGTTATTTTGTTCTCAAAGAGTTATCAAAGGAAGAGATTACCATTCAATCGAACGACCGACAGAACAACCAAAAAACCCACAAAAATGCCAACGAGAAAGAACAGTTGAAAAATGAAGCGAATAAAAGACGCACGGACACTGAATCAGCAGGTCCTTCTACTAACCCACTAAACAAGGCAAAACCAACTCCCAAAATTCATATTATTGATGCAGAGCTATCCTGCAGTGATATGCTTTCTATTGCTACACCAAGTGATGTTGATTTGATTGCTGGAATAGTCGAAGATAATAAAGAATTATGTATCTTTACAGTGGATCTATTTATAGAACTGGCAAATAAATCATTTCCAGCAACTATTGATATGTAACCAACACGAAATGTTCAAGTGCAAAACTATGTCCCAATTAAAGAAAATCGAAAAGATATTCAAATAATTTTCTCAAACTCTCACTATGTCGTCGCATATTATACACCAGGATCGGACGAAATCTTGGTGTATGATACCTTATATAAAACTGTTACCAGGGGACAAAAAGAAATCTTGCAATTACTTTACCCGACGAAAACCTATCGAAAAGTACAAGTTGCCACAAGGCAACCTGACTATCGATCGTGTGGTGTCTTCGCAGTGGCAAACGCCACAAGTTTACTGCTAGGCCAAAATCCAGAGACATACCCCTTGTTTTTGGATGAAACAAAGAAAGATACGACGGTGATTTTACGGCAACATATGACTGAAATGCTCCGAAGTCGACGGATCACCTTATTCCCATCAATTGGAGCGCCAGAACATCCACCGTCCAACGATACGGCCGACAAAAAAGGAAAAAACGACGATATAAAAGATCTCAAAGCGTCTGAAAAGGAAGAGATTACCATTGAACTGAAGGACCGTCAGTCCGTCCGACCGTCCGAAGATATAAAAGACAACGATGAGTCTGAAAATGGTAATTGTGTACTGATTCAACTGACAAAAATAAACAAATTATTTAAGCTTTTTGTACATATAGAGTTGCCAGCGAGAGAAAAGAAGAAGAAATCCGACCTCGAAGCGTCTGAAAATGGTAATTGTTTACTGATTCAATTGAAATAAATAAACAAATTAATTAAGTGTTTATGTTGTTCTCATAGAGTTATCAAAGGAAGAGATTGAACCGAACGACCGACAGTCCGACCGACCGTCCAAAGATATAAAAGACAACGATGAGTCTGAAAAAGGTAATTGTTTGCTGATTCAATTGACAAAAATAAACAAATTATTTAAGTTTGTTTTGTACTTATAGAGTTACCAAATGAAAAAACGACCGATGAAGATGCATCGACGATGAAAGATATGAAAGAAGAAAATTTACAGTCATTCGATTTCAGAGTAACACGTCAAACCGCCAAGAAGCTGCAAATCAATAAATTATGATATGTCTAAAATTTTCACATTAAAAACCTCAAAACTTCAATTTATTCACAAAAGTGCCCTGCATAACAATATTTATAAATCATAAGAAAAAATAAAACGTCAACAAACAACAAAAACCTCAACTCTTTCGTCTATCAAAGTCGAATATTATAGATCTGTATCTGCATTTCACTCATTTCATTAAAGAAATATGTTTTATTGGACGTACGTCCGTACCGACCGACCGACCATCGCTAATGACGTGAATCTTTGCACAGGCTATTATTTTCACAACAAAATAACATTCTGAGAGTTTGAAGACATTTCAACAAAAAATAATGGTACCTCCCATACAATTTTTTTTCAAAAATGAACATTTTGCAAGGGAAATGTGCTCAGTTTTGATTCAAATTTCTCCAAACTCTCAGAATATAATTTTCTTATGGAAAAAATAAGCTGTGCAAAGTTTCACGTCATTGCGTTTTCATATAGGTATATCTTCCATACAAAATCCACATTTTTTGTGATTTTTCAGATTTTTGTTTGAAAAGTGTATCAAAAATTTGTTGCATCATGAAACTAACCGCATAGTCATAGTCGGTTTTCTCCCACCAAAAATATTATGAAAAGATTTTTAAGTTATACTTTGAATAATAAGTAATATGTACTATATAGTATATATTAGACCAGAACTGTCAACGAACATTCATTCGTTCGTTCGGTCGAACATACAAACGAATGTTTTTTCATTGGTTCGAACCGAAGCCCGATCATGGTATAGGATTTCCTATATAAACCTTGTAACTAACAACACCTCTAATGTGTATTCCGAGTACTAATCGACGTTTGTAACAATATGGCCGTCACGGTTTTGCAAAATCATAATGAATCGATTAAACTGCCTTAAACTGTTAAAATAAAACAGTAAAAATAAATAGATTTTAATTTTTTACATTTTTGAAAATAAAAAATCTTTTGTTTTTTTAATCTTGTGAGATTTTCTGTCCAAAATATTCAAAAATATCAAATTAATTAAAATGAATTGGTTGACATAACCTCACTTTTGTGTCACAATCGTGATAAACCGATTAAATAATTATTAAAACAGTAGAAATAAATAGATTTTAATTTTTTACATTTTTGAAAATAAAAAATCGTTTGTTTTTTTAATTTTTTGAGTTTTTCTGTACACAATATTCAAAAATATTAAATTAATAAAAATGAATTGGTTGACATAACCTCACTTTTGTGTCACAATCGTGATAAACCGATCAAATAATTATTAAAACGAAAGTGAGGTTATGTCAACCACTTCATTTTTTATTAATTTAATATTTTTGAATATTGTGCAGTAAATCTCACGAAACTACCGGAAACTACAAAAAAAAACAAACAATTTTTATTTTTAAAAATGTAAAAAATTAAAATATTTTTATTTCTACTGTTTTAATATTTATTTAATCGGTTTATGACGATTGTGACACAAAAGTGAGGTTATGTCAACCAATTCATTTTTATTGATTTAATATTTTTGAATATTGTGGACAGAAAATCCCACAAAATTAAAAAACAAAAAAAAAATTATTTTCAAAAATGTAAAAAATTAAAATCTATTTATTTCTGTTTTATTTTAACAGTTTAACGCAGTTTAATCGATTCATTATGAATTTTCCAAACCGTGACGGCCATATTGTCACAAACGTCAATTAGTACTCGGAATACGCATTAGAGGTGTTGTTAGCTACGGGCATGATCGGGCTTCGGTTCGAACATACAAACAGAGAGTAGAAATCGCTGCCAATATTATATAGTACTGTTTTAACAGTGCTTATAAATTCCCTATTTGTATATTACATTTCGGTTGTGTGTCCGCAAACATTTTTGTGAACTCTAATATGTGAACAATGTAACACTTTGTATTTAGGCTCTTCAATACACATAAATGCATAGCCGATGATGCGGCAGTTTAAAACATTGAAACACATTTTCGGTCCTTCTCCCATTCTCTTTAATGCTCTAATACACACACTCTCTTTTCCATGCATTTTTCGCTTGTATTTAACCAAAATTGTCGCATTTCAAACAAACAATATATATTGACATCCAATGTGATTGTTGAAACAAATGTGTTCAACTCATTTTCTTCGATACAATTTAGTTCTTTTAATAATAAACGAACGTGTGAGGAAATAAACCAACTAATCAAAACATAAAAAATCGAAAAATTCTACGAATTTTTGGTTGACACAAGCAATGCCTTCTTCGTGTGGTGTGTTGCTAATAATCGTTGAGAGTCATAAATTACTACACTTTATTATAAACAAAATGGCGGTCAACATCATTAGTGTGTATGCTAAACACATTCAAATTATATTTCTAAGTTATTTATTTGGGAAATATGTATTCGCTCTAAAGTTATAATTAAATTATTTCTAATATTTACGTGATTTTAATACGATCTAAGAATGTGAATGCATTTAGAAAGAATGAATTTAGCATTATGAAGAAAAAACGCGCGAAAATACCAGAAAAAAATTTATAAACTCCAATTTGCTAGTCATTTGTGTATGCGCGTGCGCCTTCGTTGTTGCTTGATAGATTTTTTTGTAAATAGTCTAATTCATTAAAAAGTGCGCATTGTGAAACAAAACAAGAATATTTTACATTCGAAATCATGTAAATTGATTAGTCATTTGTGTGTGTTTGTGTCAATCAACCCATAGGCACCATTATTACTTAACGTAAAAATATTAAAACATATGAAAAATAAAACAAACAACAAATACGAATATTATTTCACTCTTTGATTTGCTAGTCATTTGTGTGTATGTATGTCTTTTCATTGTTGCTCGAATTATAAATGTGAAAGATTAATTTGACTCATTACATACATGGAAATCACCAACAAACTAAATAGAAAAGTGCACTTTCGGTACAAAAGACCATGATTCTCTTCAAAGCAGTTTTCTTCAGTTATTTTACTTTGCGCGCACCCCAATGTATGTATATTCAAGTGTTCGGTCATGTAACATCCCAGAGAGAAAGTAACAAAGAGAAAAACCCTTCTTGTTTTATATTTTCCTATTCATTTGTGTTCGTCTGCACGCAATTAAACTTGAAACTTTATTCTTAGGCCAGATGTTTGACCGACCGGCCGAATCCATAGGCACGTAGGGACTGTTTGATGAATGCTTTGTTTTTTAATCGAGTTCAAGTGTGTTTTTTCGAAATCTCATCTGAATAGCTACAAACTTAGTAAGTTTAGATAAGAAAAGAGATACCAGAACTGTCAACGAACATTCGTTCGTTCGTTCGGTCGAATATACAAACGAATATTTTACAATCGAAATCCTGTAAATCGTTTCGTCATTTGTGTGTGTGTGTGGGTGTGTGTGTTTTTTCTAATTGGCCAACCAATCGACCTATAGGCACCATTATCTTCTTCGTTTATTATTATTGTTAATGCCACGCCATATTTTTGTAGGAAATGCGAGTAAAATCAATCTCAAAAATGTGGAATATTTGGAAGCATTATTGGAAACAGGCATAGTCCAGCCACATAAGGTGAAACCACGAGACAGACTAGTGTACAGATCTCCGGTTTACAATGTATTCAATTTGGTTTATGACGAAGATGGACGATTTGTATTACACGGTTATGTTTGCAAAAAATGTAAAGTGGCAATATATGCTGACCAAGAGAAGAATAGCTCTAAGCTACGACGACACCCGTGTTTTCAAAACTCGAAATGGAATTTAAAGAGGGATACCAAAAGTTATGCAAACGAAAGTCAAACAACGCAAGAGTCAAATAATGCAAGAGGAAACGATTCAAATCTCATCTCCGAAAAGCAAAGAGGTCTTCTTGTGGAAGCATTTTCTGCGATGGCTGAAAAAATTGGCATTCCAGGAGAGACCATCGGAAAATTTCTTCCAAAAAAATGGAAAAAACGGCAATGGAAAAAATTCAGTGAAACACTTTCAAAATCAATGCCCTCTTTTGATGAAACGAATATGTTGGATGGTGAAAACCGAACCGTAGAAACGGTCGACCGATCGACCGACCGACCGTCAGAACAAGGTAAAATATTCAACTCAGCTTTTTGCTTTTCATTTTAAATTCAAATAAAGATGCCCCAAATATCACAAAGAGAGGAGAATTGATTCAATTGACAAAAATAAACAAATTATTTAAGTTTGTTATGTACTTTTTTTTACTACTTATGAAGACATGACTGTTGAATCGATCGAGCCAGCGGAAGCATCGGAAAGGAAAAAGAAATCGAAAGAAGAACACAACCCCCCTAAAAGATGCAAGACTGATCGCAAGTCCGACCAAGCATCCGACCACGAAGCGTCTGAAAATGGTAATTGTTTACTGATTCAATTGCAATAAATAAATTAATTAATTAAGTTTATGTTTCTCATAGAGTTATCAAAGGAAGAGATTGCCATTAAACCGAACGACCGAAAGTCCGACCTACCGTCCAAAGATATAAAAGACAATGATGAGTTTGGAAAGGGTAACTGTTTACTGATTCAATTGACAAAAATGAACAAATTATTTAAGTTTGTTATGTACTTTTTCTATACTACTTATGAAGACATGACTGTTGGATCGATCGAGCCAGAGGAAGCGCCGAAAAAGAAAGAGAAAAAGAAAACGAAAGAAGAGGCCGACCGATTGACCGACCGACCGTCAGAACAAGGTAAAATATTCAACTCATTTGGTAAAACATAAATTTTAAAGAAATGCTTTTTGCTTTTCATTTTAAATTCAAATAAAGATGCCCCAAATATCACAAAGAGAGGAGAAAAGAAGAAAGAAAAGAAGAACAAGCAAGGGCGTAAACTTAGTGTCGATGAAAATCTGACCGTCACACCGACCGACCGACCAAAAATGAGAAATAGAGCGAAACTAACGAATAGTGGCGAAGAAAAGATACGCAGAGATTCTGATTTGCACAACGAAGAAGACAGTCAGTCAAAATCAAAGGAAGAAACAACAAAAACAGTCGATCTTACTGACGATAATTCAAACTTTGATGATTGCTTTCGAAAGCCTGAACCCAATGAAGAAGACTTGATCAAAGGACTTATGAAAGCAAACTCAAAGTTATCTAACTTTACGGCTGATCTGTTTATCGAAATAGTGAACAATGAATTTCCAAATATCAAAATGCAGCCGACGTCTTACGAACAAATTCCATCGAACTATGTCGTAGCACCAACAGATCGGGACGATATTCAAATAGTTTTAGCGGGTGAACATTATGTGGCGGTACATTATCGGCATGGCGAAGATCACGTCACTATATATATGACACTTTATATGTAAAACCGACAAAAGCACAAAAGAAAATATTGAAAATAATTTACCCCGGAAAAAAGTTTATTACTCAGTCACCCGCGATATTACAGACTGACATAATATCATGCGGCTTGTTTGCTGTAGCAAACGTGGTTACTTTAATGTTCAATAAAGATCCTAGAACATATCATCTATATTTGGATCATATAGGAGATGACAAACAAATGCCACTCAGAATTCATTTGGCGGATATGTTAAGAGAAAAAAAGATCACTCTTTTTCCAGCAAGTCCGTCCTCCGAAGAAATGGAATACGATGAGGAACCACGATGCGATGAATCCGAAGCCACTGCGAAGATAGATCCGGCCGTCCTCCCGACCGACCGAATGGAAAGAGGTCAAGTGGTTTGGTATCAGGACGCCCAATTAATCCGCCAAGAATTTGAGTGTTGATGATTTAATTCGGAAGGGTGCACCTACGCAAGAAGATATGCTCGCGGAAATGCTGACGGGCAAAACTAATCTCCGCACGTACATGGTTGACCAGTTCATCGACATAGTCAACCATGAGTGTGAAGAGATTAATATGCAGCCGACAGCAAACGCACAAATGGATACATCAAAATATGTCGCTGCACCAATGGTAAGCAATGATATTCAAATCATTTACGCCGCAAATCATTATGCGGCAGTTTTGTATCGCCATTACGATGGGCGTGTCATAGTATATGACAGTGTTTACAAAAGACCCACCAAAGCACAAAAACAACTGTTAGAGATTATCTATCCTGGGAAAAGGATCAGGCTGTGTGTTCTGTATAATTTCAGCAGGCACTGCTATTTCTAGCACGATAGCTATGCTCTGCCTAAGTTTGACGCATTGCATACCGCATTGAAATCGATGCCTGTTTACAGTGTGTGCTCATTACGCGGCAATAGCGATACCGTGTATTACGCAGCATTCATGCATGTGTATTGATGGTTTACGGTGTCGCTATTGCCGCGTAACGAACACAAACTGCTTACAGCAGTCACCGATTTCAATGCGGTATGCAATGCGATAAACTTAGGCAGAGCATAGCTATCGTGCTAGAAATAGCAGTGCCTGCTGAAATTATACAAAACACACAGCCTGAAAAGGATAGATTATCGTGCGGTTTGTTTGCGGTGTAAAATGTTGTTTGTTTATTATTCGAGGAAGACCCAGAGACGTATGACTACTCCATCGACGATTCGGAGGAAGATCCGAAAATGCCACTCAGGGCACATTTAGCAAAAATTTTAAGGAGAAAGAGGATCACTCTTTTTCCATCAAATGACGAACCAGGTGAGATATTGTTTTAAAAATAATTAGGCTTACATACCGACATAAAATATAAATGAATACATTAATTCATAGATACAAAGAAAAAACGCCTAAAATATCAGCTGAAGATTGATAGTGACGAAGAAACAGACGGCGATGAAATACCAATAATGATGACTCGATCGACCGCAAAAATCCTTAGAAATAAGTAGCTTTTGATTGAATATCAACAATTTTATAAGCAAAATTTTTCAAATAAAAGACAACGATTATCCACATACGAAATCAAATCATTTTGAAATACAATGTTTGTTGCTCATCCGACCGTCCGTTCGAATTTCATAAATCTTAATTTTGCATTCATTCATTCCGACCGACCGATCAACCGACTGACTTTAATATGTTATTATAAAAAATGTATGGAGACTGGTCTACGGACGGACGCAATATTCAATATATTTTTGTAACTTCAATACATGTTTACTCAAAATCCTTGTTTGTCCGTTCGGCCGACCGTCCGACTGAATGAGTGCTGTACTTCGACTAATATTGTGCCACCAAATTAACTGCTTTTGGTGTATTAAAATATGGTGAGTTGAAAACATGCTTGGATACCGACCCATTTTTCGGCCTTTAAATAATTTCAAATCCCTGTAAAAACATTTTCATTAGATTGCTTGTTGAAAAGTAAGGCGAAATGTCTTATTTTTACATTATTTTGTATTGTGTGTTAGTCCTACAAATCCAAGCAGATCGCGATCCTTCGCAAAATCAAATTTTTGTCATAATGGGTCAGAATAAAACACACACTGAATTTAAAAAAAAAAAA